ATGCCTTAACCTTCTACCCCGGACCGCCCCGTATTCCCCCGTCGCCACCCCCATCCAATCCGGGTATTGTGCTACCAGGGTTTAAGGGAATCCGCCAGAAGATTACCACAAGTAACCAGGATCTTGCTTCAGGGTAACGGGAGCACCGAAAATGTCGACACATTAAAATGAAACTCAGGATCTTGCTTCCGTGACAGTGAAGCAAGATCCTGAGTTTTTATATTTTTACAAAATTCTGCCAAGCTAGAAGGATAACGAGAAAAGTTTCATAAATAAGTTGTGGGTATTTGCTTAAAAAAGTATAATTGATGTACGCGACGCACTTCCAGTTGACATTTCCATCGCTTGCCAATGCATACATTTAATCTTTTATAATCCATTTGAATGACTTTGACATATTGTGAATTAAACTGTACAATTAAGAAACGATTATTTTGGCTTTAGAAGTACATAACATAAATGTAGTGCAATCATATTGCTCGATCGTGTATTGTCCCTGATAGCACCAGCCCCGCCTGGCCCCATCTAAATAGCCGAGGTCAGGCGGGCCAATCTGGGGACAAGAGTGAACTAAATGCATTGTAAAAATTTCTCGAAATCTATTTTATTTTCAAAAAAGTATCAATAATCATTAGTTTGCATCTTCTTTGATAAAACGATGAAATCCGGGGGTTGAAACGGGAAAACGGGTGGCACATGCTGCAAAAAATTTTTCCGTAGGTGAGGCTTAACGGGTTGAATTTGGCCTCATCTAATTCAGTAGCGCGTGGATTGAATTAGACGGGGCCAAATCAACCCGTTCAGCCCCACCTACGGAAAATATTTTTGCAGTGTGCACCCACCGTTTTCCCGTTTGAATCCCGGTTTCATTGTTTTATCGAAGAAGAAGAAGAAGATGCAAACTAATGGTAATTGATACTTTTTTTGACAAAAAATAGATTTCGAGAAATTTTTACAATGCATTTAGTTAACCGTTAGCCCCGGATTGTGCCGCCTGGCCCCGTCTGGGGCCCCACCTAGGCTGGGGTCGTGGGCTGACAGGGGTTTTGGAGATAAATCTACTGAGCGTTTGGAAACAGGTTTCAATTTAAAAAAGCGTTCAGTATATGTTATGGTGAAGTAAAATTGGGTAATTAGGGGAATACACTAACCGTTGAGATTCCATGGTTTTATCGATAAACTCTATTTTTTTCTAATTACAATGATTTTTAAACGTAGGATTCGAAATCCAAGAAGGCAGCTACGGTGTGTTAGTAACAATGAAACCTCCCGACGGACTGGTGGTCACATTCAAAGCAGTTGCGTTTCGGGAAGGGACTAATCGGAAGAGCTGCACAATGTTTAACGAGAATAATGAGCTTAAATGCTATATTACAAAACTTCAACCAAACTCTGTATACACTGTTGCCCTGGAGGCTTGCAAGAACGAGGACGATTGTGTGGCCTACGGTGATAGTGTCCGTATTCAGACGAGGCCTGGCGGTAAGAAATTATTATTTCTAGCTGCAGTGCAAAATGTTCACTTGATAAAAACCTGTGTTTGTGTCAACATTTATTTCCAAAAATTAAAATAATGAATTGCTGCTGTACGAAAAATTAGAATGCCATGAAGAAATCTTCCTGTTTAGGTAGACATACTTTCCGTGAAGTTTATTTTTGCATACTTCCTGTCAGGACTATCCTCAATACTTTTATCGCGCACCATTTGTCTTAATCTATGCGTGAGTGGCTCTAGGATATCAGTGAAATAAAAAATCCACTCATCTGTAGCAAGAAGATTTAATTGTTATTATCTAAATGATCCTACGGTTAATTAAAGTGGAAAGTCGATATTAGTAATTAAATTAGATACTCATTTATTTTTTGAACAGCAAAATCCTCCTAACTACGTAATAAAAAATATTGAGATAATTTAAAAAATAATGCTGAGATGGTTAATTACATAAGCTTCATTTTTGCTCAAGGAAAATGCTCACTGGTATGTGGATACCATGAGATCTTACTCAGTTTAAGGCCATTAAGAAATCCAAATTACTGATACTTCACAAGTTCTAAGGTTTAATGTTAACTCAGGAAGATCTCGGCCTGTTGAATTGTTTTCTTCAGGCCCTTTTCCATGGTATTATTTTTAAAAACTTAATGTTTTATCTCTTGCGAATTACGTGGACCGTCATGGACTCATCAACCCGCTATGTTGTCAATAGTAATGCCGTCTGTGCTAACATTTTAGTCCCGCGTCATGTCACAATTCAGGACCGAAAATCGACTTCGTTCAGGGTTTATTGGATCAATTCATTAGAAGATCTGCATAATCGTTATGACTACCTTGTGACCGCTAATACCCCCCTCGACAACACGACGTACACGTGCAGTTCCTCGTATGGATATGGATATTGCAAGCTAACAAATCTAGAGAGCGGGACTGAGTACCTTGTACGCGTATCGGCCTGCACCCGTGATTTGTACTGTAGTGAAGATTCGAATATTGTACTTGGACATACACTACCAAGTGGTGAGTTTGGAAGATGAATTTTCCTTTTTGCTCCTTCCTGTGGGGAAATGATGTTATATCCGTATTAACGCGCGAGTCGCCGTCCTTGTTGTGCGTTAAAGTGGAATCGATCCTTAAGAAAGATAACATTGTTTGCCTTACTCAGATAAGGTATTGTTCAATGTGTCAAGCAAGGTAACAACACTGCCAGGCTGAATCGAACTTCTCCTTAGTAAATGTGAGACGATAGAAGATTATTAGGACAAATCACACCACTGAGTCAGTGCACTGAACACAATTCTATGAAAAGGTACTCAGTTGATGGCTGAAAAAATGCTTCAGAAAAATAGACCTGAGATTTTCTTTCGTTTAATCAGTTTTGTTTTTTAAAGGAATCAATATTTCCTGCAAAATAATCCTTCGTCATTCTGGACGTTCAAGACAAAACACGCACACATTATTCCCTTAGTCAAAAATTATGCAAAAAGGGCTTGAAAATTGGTTATTTTGCCAATTGTGATCTATCTCTCATGCTCCCCAAGCACATAATCAGATAAGCATTTTAACAAATATCTCTCTGACTTTAGCCCCAGGTTACTCCACCTTGGAATCCTCAGCCTCGGATTCTCTAACTATGTCAATCAAACCTCCGACAGATGCCACTGAAAGGGACTACGTCTATGCGGGCACCTTTGAAACATCTTTATATACAAATGTCTTTGGTGGTGGTTGTGAAATGAAGCAGCTTGCTGCCAACTCTGTCTGTCAAACAGACCTGGCTGTGCCCGACACGTACTACTACTTTCGTACCTTCGCCTGCACGCTCGAGCATATGCTGTGCACCGAAGGGCCTCAGAAAAGTGCACGTACCAAAGCGCCAGGTAAGTGAGCATGCGTTCTTTCGGATTAGGCTATATTTAGGTTGTAATTGAAAGTAAGTCGCAACTCACGGTTGTCGGCCTTGACGCAGTACACAATTTGCGGCTTTCCTTTAAAGTTTTTTTTTTCTTTGCATACTGTCTGATAAATCGGCGCGATTTCTTAGTTGCAGTTAACAAAAACAAAATGATAGATAGCAAGTGTACCAGCAAATATAAACGCCTTTGAGGAATTTTAGGTCCTCGAAAAAATTTCCTGGTAAAAGTTACATTTAAGGTTAATAACAGCACGTATAAGTTTCATCCTTCTGTAATACGGAACTGGTGCTAATAAGGGCTAAATGAGTGGGACATTTCAGGGAAAAATAACTTTAAAAAGTTGTATGCATAAATGTCGAATTAATAAGGAATGTTATTTAAATGACCAGGTCTTTGCGCACAATATTAAGAATGAGAAATCCTATCAACAGGGAAAATGGAGGCCCAACAGAGCTCAATTTCATACGATCTTAGACTATATATACTCGGCATGTCAACTCTGTATGAACTGTTTATTACATCTATATCAACCCTATATATACTCCCCACTTTAAAACGCACAATAACTTCTAAGCCAAAAATCATCCGCATGTCGCCGAAAAGGGAAACAGAAATGAACTAAAACTGAAAAAAAAAACTAAAGATAAACTGGAAACAGTAGTTTTAGTGGTGTACCTCATATTTTCCTAGTCTCAGCATTTTGTCCTACGGAGGCGGTAGTTACAGGGGTTTTATGGGTTGGGAAACAGAATGGGCAGTTAAATATCCTTTAATAACTGCTAAATGCATTTTTATTTTATTGTATTTAGAAACGTTGTCGGTTTATATCCGTAGATTTTCCTGATCTGTATTATCGTTTAATGCATGGTGGAAAAAACCCCATTATCAAAATGCAGGTTCCTGAAATTCTCGAAAAAATATAAATGATGGTTAGAAGGTCGTCTACTTCAACTTACCTGAGGTCCAACTTACCGTTCTGGGGTAAGATTATCATGGTCCACGACGCGAAGCCCGGCGCACGCCTTCAATCTACTTGCTGAACAACTTCCTCCCAGCGGCCGCTAGAAACAAATTAACTTTATCCATTGTATACTTCTATATATTTTCTTCA